TGATTTTGTTTTATATCTACACCAGACACCATCAAATTGATCTTGACTCATGAAGACCCCATGGATAGAAAGATCTACTCTTTCAGAGAATAACTATACTCCGTGGGATTTTCAATGGCTGATTTTTTTTGGAAGCAGATCTCCAGGCCTTTCTTCTGAGGCGTGTTAACCTGGGTTCTCTAGAGATACAAAACCAGCAAAGCTTATATAGAGAGAGAAAAAGAGAAATTTATCTTAGAAAAAATGGCTCACACACTTATAGAAGCTGGAAAGTCCCAAGTTCTTGGGTCAAATGTCAAGCTGGAGGCTTTTTCCGACTCACGCAGCTGCAGGGCTGAGAACCTCAAGGTTGACAGCCAAACGACTCGACGGCACTTAACAACAACAACAACATACTGGCTGTTGACTCCAACGAATAATGAATCCAAGATCTCCAGGCCAAATGGTGGATTGTTCCGTCATGGACTGTTGTAGGCAGCACAACAGAATCCTGATCCACAGAAGAGTGTCCCTTTTCCAAGGATGTCCATAAATATACTGCAAGCAGGCCACACCCCTAGAGACCTCCCTTTCAATGTTTTGGCAGCTCAAAACATATACATCCAATCCCATCATTGGAACAACCCACATCACAATTGCTTAAACCACACAGAATTGTGGTCCAGCCAAGTTAACTCACAGCTCCAACTATCACATGAGGCACCTCTGGTGGACTCGAATCTCAACCGATCAGTTAGTAGCCAAGTGCATTAACTGTTTACATCACTCAGGGCTCCAATCTCTCTCTCTCTGGATATATCTCTATTTATCTTTCTACCTATATCTACCCACATCTCAAACAATAAATATCTTTATCTAAATTTATAACTGTATCTGTATTTAAACTTTTTTGAAGTATAATATACATCCAGAATATATGCATATGATAAGCATACAGCACAATGCATTTTCACTGGGTATAGTCAGGTAGGAGCTCTGGTAGCATAGTGCCTATGGTATTTGACTGCTAACCAGAAGGCTGGTGGTTCAAACCCACCAGCCACTACTTGGAAGGAAGGTTGGGCAATCTACTTCTGTAGTGATGCTGCCTTGGAAACCCAGTGAGTCATATCCAACTCGATGGCAGTGTGTTTTTATAGCCAAGTAACTAGTCCCTAGATAAAAATAGAGCACATTACTAGTATTCCCAGATTTTCCCTCATGTTTTCTTTCAGTTACTCCACCCCAAGCATAACCAGTATCCCATTTTCTAAAACCATAGATTAATTTTACCTGTTTTTTGTTTACATAAATAGAATAGTGTGTCTTTTGTATCTGACTATTTTTTTGTCCAATATTATGTTTGTGAGATTTATCTATGTTGTACATGGCTGTAATTTGTCTGTTCATATTCCTGTATAGTATTTCATTGTATGAATATACCAAAATTTATTTATCAATTCTATTTTTGTCAAACTTTTTGTACCCACTTTAGCGCTACTATAAATAGTGCCATGTGAACATTCTAGTACATGACTTTTGTTGAATATATTTATAGATTTCTGTTGAGGATATACTTTGATATAAAATCACTGGCTTACTGAATATTCTTATTTTCAGCTTCATTTCCAAGAATATGTATTTCAAAATAATTTCTCACATGATTCTGGTACATAGCAAGGACTGTGAATGGTTGCCTCAGAGCCTGCCATAGCTTCCTGTGCTCCATCTCCCATTTCTTCTGTAGATGTGGGCCACTCACTGCTGTCGAGTTGATAGCGACTCTTAGCGACCACTCTTTGGGTTTCCGAGGCACTATCTCTACGGAAGTAGATTGCCCAATCTTCCTTCCAAGGAGTGGCTGGTGGGTTTGCCTTCTGGTTAGCAATCAAGTCCCTTAGGCACTATGCCACCACAGCTCCCATAACTACTCTTCTACCCAGACTAAGAAGCTGCCTTCAGCCTCCACACAGATTTCAGAACCACGGTAGCCTTGACCTCTCCGGATCCCACTGAGAACAAGACTCAGTTGGGAGCTTACATCTCAGACCAAGTTGGCTAATGGGAGAGCAGATTTGAAAGTTGAAACTCAGGAGGCTCCTGGTACTGTCGCCTTCATTCTGCACAGGGGTATAGGCTCCTCTTGCCTACCTAAGACTTGTTGTCCTTGTTCTCATCCCTCTTACCTCTTAATTCCCTGGCTCCACACCAAGCATTTATACCTACTGTTATGGACTGAATTGTGTTCCCCCAAAATATGTGTTATAAATCCTAACCCCCATACCTATGGATGTAATTCCATTTGGGAATAGGATTTTCTTTGCTAGGTAAATGAGGTCATAGCAGGGTAGGATGTCTTAAGCCAATCGCTTTTGAGATATAACAAGAGCACATTAGGCACTGAAACAAGCAAGCAGAATGGAGGAAAGGCAGAAGCCATGTGGAGATCTCCAAGAACTGCAGAGAACACTAGAGAAGCTGAGACAAGGATTTTCCTCCAGAGAGGACAGAGAGAACCTTCCCTGAGAGCTGCTGCCCTGAATTCAGATGTCTAGCCTCCTACACTGTGCAGAAATCAATTTCTATGTGTTAGAGTAAATCACAGTGGTGTTTCTGTTATAACAGCAATAGATAACTAAGGCACTTTATATACACACACACACACACACACATACATGCATACATATATGTATACACACACACACACACACACATACATATATATATATGTTGTTGTTATGTGCCGTTGAGTCAGACCTGACTCATAGCAACCCTTCCTTGGACATACATTATATATATAGTTTATTTTGTTGTTTCTGTTGAGAATATACACAGCAAAACATACACCAGTTCAGCACTTTCTACATGTACCATTTAGTGACAATGACTACATTCTTTGAGTTGTGCAACCATTCTCACCTTCCTTTTGTCAGTTTTTCCTCCCTGTAAGCATAAATTCACTGCTCTCTAAGGTTCCTAACTAATCTTTTGAATTGCTGTTGTTAATTTAATCCCATATAGATAGTTCTTAAAAGAGCATAATGCTAAAAAAAAAAAAGCACTGACCCATGTCACTTTAGTTTTGTATATTTCACTGTACATAAATTATATTTCAATAAAATGCATTTAAAAAATAAAGAGCATAAAGTTCAAGGCAGACACTTTTTATTGATTAAGCTAAACTTGTTTGGTTTTAAGAAGGTTTAGGGGATATTTTTGGTTCAAAGTTTAAAGATTATCTCAGAGCAATAGTTAAAGGGGTTGATCCAACTTGCATGGCTCCAAGAAATCTGGAATCCATGAGAATTTGAAATTATGTTCTGTATTTTTCCCTTTTTGATCAAGATTCTTCTATGGAATCTTTGGTCAAAACATTCACTCATGGTAACTGGGCACCACCCAGTTCTAGTCTCATCTAAAGGAACCAGTTTTTCATGGAGACAATTAGCCACACATTCCACATCCTCCTGCACTTGGCTCTCCTTCTTCCTCTGTTGTTCCAGGCAAATAAAAGCCTCAGTAGCTACTATAGCTACTTTTTATTTATTGGTCATTGTAAATATATCTATCACACAACTGTTGCCAACCTAACTTTTTACAGATGTACAACTAATTGACAGCAATTACAAAAACTGGCTGTGCAAACTTACCCTTAATCAACACGATATTTCCACCACTGTTAACCTCTCCTTTCCCCATCTCATGCCTGGTAACCACTAATTAACTTTGTTGTCTATAAATTTTCCTTTTCTTTTTTTTTTAAATATAAGTGAGGTCATGCAACATTTGTCCTGTTGTGATTGACATTTCACTCAGCATATTGTCTTCCAGTTCCACCCATATTGTACTGACATCTACTTTTCCTTTTGATTTGTCAACACAACTGACTTGCTTCTTTGCCTTTCTAGAGTTAAACCTCCCTTGCTTCCTCATTTTGGGGACCATTTATAGCCCTAGATGATAAGCTCTTTTTTTCATCTCTGTCCTGTCATTCCCATCTGTCCCAATGAGTTCTCATTGCTCATTCTCCACCATAGAAAGTCCAAACAAACTGAGTACTTCACACGTGGTTATTTCAAGGTTACCTTTTTGTTGTTGATAATTTTCTGGGTCTGTGATTTCTTCTGAATGTGCCTCTTCATTGTCTTTCATCATCAATTCTCCAGTTGCAAAGAGTGTGTATAACTTCTGGATCAAATCAGCAGCTGTCTCAGAACCATTATTTTCATTGCTCCCTGATATAAAGAAATGCTGTTCCTGGGAATCATAGTCACCAAATGGCTCGCTGTTTTCTGACCCTATTTCATATACCTCAGGAAGAAGGCTGTGGTGACAGAGAAAAGAGATGAAAAATATGTTATCCAAGTCCCTTGCAGGCTTAACTATGAATGCAGCTAGAACATATATTATGAATCTATTTTATGCATGTAATGTAAATAGTCTAAAATGTACTTTGTAGATGAAATTCAACTCGGGCAATTTTGTAATATTCCAGAGGGAAATTAGACATTTGTTTCAGTGTTTTAAGACTCCAGGACAAAATTTTTGTCATCACTGAATTTTTATTGAGTATTTAGGGCTGTGCTTTGCAGAATCAAACTTGAAAGAATACTTCCTGCCAATCTTCACATGGACTCTGTTTACTAAATGGCAAATGTTTTTGTTGCTGTTTTATAGTTTTTCTTCTGCTCTAAAATTGTTATAAGTTTTCTGTTTTGGCAATAACCAATATTACATAACTACTAATAAGGGGCTTGTTTATTATTTTCTGTAAAAGAAGTAGAAATGGAAGCATAGTTCTTTCCAATATGGATTATATTTTATTTGCTATTAACACCAGACATGTGTTGTCTGCACAAACCAGGAGCAGTTAGAATACACACATGTGCATGTATATGTACACATGTGCATATACACACAACCAACTCTGCTTCTTGAAAACTAAACTTCTATTTATTTCAAATTATTTCCTTAAGGATTCTTTTCAGCTGTAGTATTGCCCAATCTGTGAATTTCTAAACTCACAACACAGTGTATTCTGTTCCAACGTTGTCCGGATTGGGAGAGGTGATGTTAACACACTTGGCTCTCAGATCTGCTGGGGGGTATTTATTGATTGCACCTGAGGAGAGAGTATGCTGCTTAGTTCAATTTTACCCCACCATATTCTATCACTCAAAGTCAGTTCATTGTTTTCTGTGTTTGGAGGTGTTTTCAAGAGAAAATTAATTTTATTAGGGGTTCTGTGAAGTAAGCATCTTCTGACATTGAAAGATTTATCACCATGTCAGTGTCATATAGTGGTGATTGAGTCAAAAGTTCCCATCTTCTGTATGTCACATGTTTACCAAACAAACAAACTCACTGCCTTAGAGTCAATTAGACTCATAGTAACCTCTCCTTGGGTTTCCGAAGGCGGTATCTCTATGGAAGTAGATTGCCCAACCTTCCTTCTGAGGAGTGGCTGGTGGGTTTGACCTGCCAGCCTTCTGGTTAGCAGTCAAATACCTTAGGCACTACACCACCACACTCATATGCTTAGACATCTCTCCTCTGACCTGTTTCTCTTCCTCTGAAAGGAGGATTCTTCCAAAAGACCTACTAGCTAGTGAAATGCTGCTCTATTTATCTTGAGGTTGGTAGAAAGTACCACCTTTTTTTGCAAGTAAAAAATCTGATACTAAATATGACGCCTGAATGCCCAGATTACTGAGGGTGACATGACTTCTGGGGACATTATGGGAATTTGGTAAGATTGGAGTTGTAGACAACCAATAAGACCTCTGCCCCATCCCTAATTCCTCAGCATAGCTAAGGACTTGTTTGACACTGCAAATGTTTAGGTTTGCTCTATACTCTTGCCCTAAAATGGTAACATGGGCTAGGCTCAGGCAGCCACCTTTGAGGCACCTCTGTATAAAGATAGCCTCAAAACCTCTGTCTGGATGAGTCTGAGCCTGTTTTCTGGGGCTTTAGAAGAGATTTGTGCCCATGGTTCATAAGAATTCAAGTCAGAATGTAGGTTAATTTACAATGACAAGATAAAATAGAATTCCTTCAAGCACTTACAGAGTAGTGGTAATGGGATATTATTTATTACAGCAATATACCTTGTTGGGGATTTAATAACTGAAGTACAGTTTAATGGATAAGAGCACAGCTCTGAGATCAGAATGAGTAGGGGGCTATGTTGGCACTTGCCAACTATTAACTGTGAGCCTTTGAGCAATTTATTTAATATCTCTGAACCTCAGATTTCTCATCTATAAAATACTAATACTTTCCTTTGAGGACTATATTGAAGATTAAGTAATAAAATCCATGTAAAAAATTTAACATGGTGTCTAGCACATAGTCAACAGACACAGATTAGAATTAGAAGACACTTTCACTCATATGGAGATTTGCTGGCAAAAACCTTGATGCAATGAGGTTCAGGATTAATTAGATGTGGAATTTTTTCTCTGTGGATTTCTCACTATCTCCTACTCATGTCCTAGACTCCACCTTTCTTGACTGAAATAAGGACTAAATATACTGACGGATGACACAAAGAGACATTAATTCTATTGCAAAAGTAATTGCAGAGAAAATCTTGAATGACTTACGTCTGATTGAATGGATAAATGGCTTGACAAACTTGATGATATAGTCCAAATTTGGCTTGTGGATTCGGCCAAGCTGGACTAAGTGATGATCCAATGGGTGGCTTGCTAACTCTTCCAATTCCTTGTCATTGTATATAGGACCAAAGGAAAACACAAATATGGCATAGCCTTGACACTTGGCTCTCAGAGATATATTCATTAAGACTTCTTTGTCTAAAGGGTTGGTGTCACCAGCAGATATTATAAAGATAACTTTGTTTCTCCTCAGATTGGGAATTCCTACAAAGACATTGTCTATTGTCCACTGCAGAGCATGACCAATAAAAACATCTCCATTGAGTTGCTGAAGAGAGTTCTGGAGATGATGTTTCATTTGGTATATACTGTCATAAGTAATCAAATCAAATTCCAGGTTGACTGGGCATTCTTTAGTGTTAGGCATATAGCCCAGAGGAGAGTAGGTCAGGACTGCCACTCTGTCTCCTAAGATGGAAGTCAGAGGATCTGGGGCAATATGAAAGTACTCAAGCACTGAGGTTATAAAAGCTTTCACTTCTTGAAACTCAGCATGTCCTATTCTATGGGAAGCATCTATGAGGAAAGCCACATCCATGTAATAGTCTTGAAGAGAGGCATTTCTAGATTCATAAGTAGGACCTGGTTCTTCTTTTCTGCCATGATTTTCATATCCTGAAACAGAATAACTCAAGTCACTCTTTTTAGTAGAAGGAAAAAGTAAGACCTTCTACATCATGCATGGCAAACACATAGCATGGGGTGTTACCATGCCTCATTCTCATACTCATAGAAGACATCACCAATCAATCACAATACTTGTTCGATGCCTTCCCTAACTCCTTTCTCACACAGAGCATCTGGAGCCAGATGTTGTCACATGAGAAAAAAAAAAAAAAAAACCTATTTAATATCCCATCTTACTTATATCTTTGTCAAGGGATTTACTTATTGTTCAATTATTTTCCATATCCAAGATGTGAAATATACAGCTATTTTTACTGCATCCAAATGGTTACAAAAATTGGAGTACACATTTACATGGATTCAATTATATGTAATAACCCCAAGAAAGAAGTATATATGTCAAAGTCACATTTACTGATGGCACAAACACATAATCTTTATACACACATTCAAAATATGAACCATGGAGTGCTGTCATGAGGGCAAGTGTAAATGCTGACTTTAGAATTTAAACTCTGTGTAAGATGTATTCTAAGACAATAGTACTCAAAGCACTAGTTTGCAAGCAGTTTATCAGCCCATGACAAGATAAGGAGATTGGACCATAATGTAAGTCAACTATATTACTAATTTCACTGATTAGTTGAGCTAGTTTTTTTTTTTTTTTTTTTTCTTGGTAACAAGACTTTCTCAGTGAAGAAAGCAATGTCTGAATTTACATTCTAATGTAAGCATCTTCACTTGTTTCAGACCAGCATTTCAAGTAGCATTGTTCTAAAGGGATCATGAGACAATATCTCCAGTTATTAGAATGATAGCTGGTTGGTGAGACCAACAGAAATTCCAGTTCAGAAAAATAGGAAGAGGGTGGCCAAAGCTTTTTTCTTCTTTGAAAGAAGAAGTGTGCTTGTGAATCTAGTAAAGCAAGAAGTGGATTTCTAACTGGCAAAAATGTGTTGATCCTCATTTGTGCTTGACCCTGTAGTAGATGCTTTTACATCTATTATTCATTTAATTCTCATAATATCAAATAAATCTATTAACCTGCATTAATGCTATAAAAGCTTAATACTGCAATAGAATGCAAAAATACCACCAGCTATTAATTTTATAGTTATATTAATGTCAGAAAGTTGTAGATACATAGATATTTATGTATAGCTATATATCTTTTTTGTCTTACATTTGGCCTAGCTCAATGACTCTCAAACTTCTGTGTGTTTAAGTATTAGTGTACCAAGTTGTATTATAAAAAATATGTTTAGAGTACTTTATATGAAGAATTTTTTGAGGAAAATTTTGACTGCACAATTTTTTGCTTTATGCTTTGATTTCAGACCCTAATTTCATGCAGAAGATGCAATTCCACTGTACACCTTTTGAACAGCAAATTTTCTTGGGAAAAAGAGAGAACAGAATATAATATTCCTAAAAAATAGAATGCAGGATTGAAAACTTAAGTTTTCTCTATAGTTTGTACTCCTGAAGAGACTAGGGAAAGCAGAAGTTTTGTGGAGTAATATTTTAACACCTGTAATAACTGAAAACTTTGATTTGTATACTTGCAACAAAAATAAATAAATAAAGCAGCTTCTTAAGAAAGTTTATGTGATGGTTAAGTTTGTGTGTCAACTTGGTTAGGCCTCATTGAGTGGCTGGGCAGCTGGATATAGTATTCCCCATGATGAGACTGGCAATCAACTCCATGGTGGAATCTACTGTGAGCAGCTGAGTAGCTGCCTTTGGGGATGTGATCTGCTTCCCGTATATAAGAAGCAGCTTTGGGAATGGTCTCTAGCTTATGGCATGCTTGAACCCTGCATGTACCCATGTCATTGTTCAGCAGCCTGCCATGCTTTGCTGACCTTGGGACTTTCAATGGACTTGAATCAATGGCCTTCTACGTGGTTTGGTAACATCAGGACTGTGCCATTTTATTTGTCAACCTTGGGCTTGTTAGCCTCACCAGCCAGTAGCTGCCTGAGTGAAGACATGCCTCTAGCTTCAGTAGGCCAGGAGCAAAAGGCAGAGCTGAAGTCCAAGGTCAAGGGGTCTTCACCCAGCCCCTAGAGCCTGGCACTTTGAACTCAGACTTCTAGCTTCCCAAACTGTGAGAGAAAAAACTCCTGTTT